ATTAAATACAGTTCAGGGGAAGGTGGATTAGAGAAAGAATGGAAAGAAAATAAAGAATGAGAGTCCTTATACTGATACAAACACCCTTCAGCACAGTCCTGGATTGTGGTTGTCTGTGTGTGTGAGAAACGCCTGTTACATTCCGCCAATTGTAGCTTACCATCCTCCTTCCCACGAGCTGCACTTGGAGAACTCTGACATCGATGAGTCACCGCCACTGACCTTTCTCATGTGGTTTCTGAATAAGTGGGAGGTTAGTATTTCTCGGTTTATAGCGAAAATTAAAGTTTCTTTGAGTAGTTTTGGATGGAAGACCTCTGTTTCATACAGCAAGGGAGCACTTGGGGGCACACTGAGGCTCTGAATGGAATTTCCTTTTTGTATTGCTGAACTATAGTCAACAAAGCAGAATGCCAAATTCTCAGTTACTCTATTTAGACCGTTTTCCAGAGGACTTTAGGCTCATTAGGGGTGAAGTTTCTCACATGCCGCAGGAGTCAGACCGTACTGCGCTGTTAAAATTCGCCATAAAAGGTTTTTTTGAGTGAATCAAGGCACTCTTTACCTGAGGTGGTAGATATAATCAAATATATGAGTCAGTCGTCTTTTAAGTGGTTATCCAGCTTTCTGAGCCAATAAGATGAGTACATTTATCCACATATCTATAAATGAGATCCCATGGCCAGCCATCGACACAATATGACTTTTGTCTGAGCAGGAGTCAAGTCAGCTATAGAGAACCGCCATTGGCCCAGCTTGGCAGAACCAGAGGCAGCTTGTGACATTTTACTGTGGAAACTTGCAGTGGGTGTTGGCCTCACCAGTGTGGAGACTCACTGACGGTCGATTATTGCAAAACAGATGTTCTAACTAGCTAGATGGATCTACCCAGTTTTACTCCAGGACAGTGAGCAGACTATGGTGCTTCTGTACAAACTTAAATATACACTCTGATTTATACTGTGAAAATGTGGACTGGAACTGGACAGTTTCTTGTGTTTAAAATAACTTGTCATATTTGTTTAGGAAGAGCAAAGACAGAGTGTTTCCCTGGAAGCAGAAGGTCTTAACTTCTCGGAACACAGGGAGATATCAGCAGTTTCATCGGGGAGATGCATCCCACCATACCAACATTTTGCTCCAAATGTTTGTGTCTCAGATTAGAGCTCCTCAAATATACACTATCTTCCATAATACAGCACAAAATGTCCTGAAAGTTAAAAGTTAAGGAAATGCCTTTATTGACGCTGTTTACTTTAAAAGACTGGACCCACTGTGGACATGCAGGATGCTGATCAGAGGATGCAGGAAAGTACCACTGACGCACGACCGGAGGTGTCAGTGTTGCTCAGGAAGGCAGTGGGCACTTGGCGCACTTGTGGTATTCTGCACATCCCAGTGACGGGAAGTCCCTCCAACTTCCCTGTCTGTATTTTTAGTTTAATGACTTTTATTTATGTCTTGTGCTAAAACCCACTAGGCAGGAGGCAAAGAGGGTTCTTGGTCTTGTGTTCGGAGCTGCTTGCCTGAAAAGTCCAAATGTAAATCCTGCTAAATATTCTGTCTGTGTTTCCTCACTCCTTCCCAGCATCACTTGGATTTATCTCCCTGTTCCATCACTCTCATACCTTTTCCCTCCCCCTAATCTCTCTCTCCTTGCTTCTTCCGTCTAGCCTCTCCTTCTTCAACTTTCAATCTTTTTGATTCAGTTTTTTTTTACTGAGAGAGAGGCAGCGTTTCTGCTTTTCTTCCTCTAAATCTGCACAAAAAGCATGGTTTGCTAGAAACCAAACCTCGAATACCATAGGCTGGCAGGAAGAAGGAGAACACGCAAATATAGACCTGTGGAATTCACGTAACCACTGACAGTGGCATTCCAATACGTAGCCAAATCCTCTGCAGCCAACATTTGAATGGGTAATTACAACTAGGTTGTTATTATGGGCCAAAGTTACAAGAGTACTGTATGACAGGCTGCGTAATGAGTGTTTCAGGCCTCAACCCTTTCCAAAAGGATGGGCTGTTTTTCCTCTATTTCCATGTTATCACACCCTCAATGTTGTGATGAACAAGATGTCATAAACTCTTCCATTGCCTTGATGACATCTCACTGTTGTTGCCTCTCCACCCGTCCCTCCTACTCCCTGCACTGCTGCTGCCTTGCACCAGAGCTAAAGGTCATGTTTACGGTGCTGTTTCCCTCTGAAAGGACTTTTAGCCGTCGTTCCACCAGGAGTATAATGGTATGTGAATATGAGCAAAAACAGATTGCTGTTCAGGTTGCATAATCTGACATGCTGATTGAGGCAGTGGAGACAGTGTGCTGACATGAGTGTTGGGTGGAAACAGCTGGCGATGTCTGTGGATTTCAGCGCAATATCAAACACTAACTCGAGCCACAGTTTTGTGTGCTTGACACAGGTCAGTCAGCTGCATGTAATATGTCATTGCACAACTAAAGCAATGCTCGACACGATGAAATACACACAGAAGTGTGTTAATGTGCGGGCACATGCTTATGCAGAGTATATGCACTCATGTTCTGCGCACATGCATGTTCAGCTATTTATTGCTCTCGCACACACCAGTGCCATGTTGTTCCAGGCGGGGGTATAATGTGTGTATCTAACTGATTTACAGCTCACTGACTAGAGAACTCCCATCTGTAGTGTCGTTGACCATGGACTTCGGGGGCCGGCAAATGTGCATGAGAGAACTTGTTCAGGCCTGGAGGGGAGGAACAGAAAAACCACAGAGAAATTAATGTTGCATGTCTGTTGTGCAGTAGCAGTAGGGTGTAAATGGATCATGATTCAGCTGGGAACTTGACTTCCCAGAGTTCAATTTTAGCAACAGAGCATAAAACAAAACATTTTCAGAAACCGGACACAGACTTTAATTGTCATGGCTGCCAAAGTCGTTACTGTAAATGTGTATAAAAATGAACGAAAGGGTGACTCACGAGCCACGAGCAAAATGATGTGCTTGTACTAATATCTGGTGCTCTTTTTACACAGTTTTCCATATGGGTGATGAAATGTAGGTCAGTTGGAGCTATCACTGGTGGACTCACAGGGGACCCCCCCCACCCCATGTTGGAAAAATCATTGAAAATGTCCCATCTTGGATCCCCCTGTTGTAGATAAAACAGGATAGGTTTCCTCTATAGTGCCTTACAACTTTCTGTGCGCTGGTGTCCTTTTTTCACCCATGCACCTCAGACAGCCTGAGTCCGCCACTGGGAGCTATCATAATGCTTCACAATCACTGACTGTATTGCAGTGATAGTGTTTAGTTACTAGGTGTGTGTATTGGGAAGGGTGTGTTTATTGTGTATGTCTCACTGGAACAATAGAAGTATTTGGACACAATACGTCATGGAAGAATCCAGACCTTTCTCGCATCCTCTCACATCTATTCATTCCCTCCTACTCCTTTTGTTTCTTTTTTGTTTGTCTCACACATAATCTCATTTATAGACACACACACACACACACACACACACACACACACACACACACACACACACACACACACACACAGTATTAATTGTGTCCATGCTGAATAAGTCCTGTGTGACTCTAAACGGTCCATATCCTTAAGTTCTACATGTAAATCTTACTTTATTTTGAAAGTCTGAGTGGTTGAGAGCTCAGAAAATAGCCTACATGCAAAGCTGTTGACCATTTTCCACTCTAGGACTATGTGCTGTGCAATTTCAAAGATGCACTCCCAGTGGTTGGAGTGCTGCAAGTATTTGTGGTCTTTCTTGGTGAACCAGAAGCTCCTTATAATCTCTAGGAAAGTTTAAATTCTTGGTTTTCTTCACCACGACAAATATTCAGAAAATAAGTTTAAAGGTAAATATTACTTGCACTGTCTGAAGACTAACTCATCTTTAGTACAAAAGATATCAAGAGAGCATGGGGGTCTTTCAGCAAAGATATATTATATTTCTACAAATGTACTAATGTATGCTCTTACTCCTCTCGAAACCCCAATAGGCCTCACATTAGCCCAAACTTCCCTATGCTGTATACAATAAATGTGGTGAGTTTTTAGTGGGTTCCCCATTTATATCCCTGCTAAAAACGTAATGTGAAGACTTAAATCTAATTGTGGCTTAGATCCAAGGTGTTGACGCCTGGATGGTGAACACAGCCCTATTTACTATTCTGAGTTACTGGGGAGACTGGAGAAAGAAGGGAGGAGTGAGGTACACAAGAGAGTCAGAGGTGTCAAGGCAGAAGGAATAGCTAGAGGGAAGTTTACCTTCAAAATAAAAGCACATTTTTGTCAGCCATGTCAGAGGTGGCTTACTCTAAACACAGTGGGGTTCAGTAGATTAAGTATTCACATATGGTACTTTATTTGAGGTAGGCTTACTTATGCTTTATTTGAGTATTTACTTTATACTGGTACTGTAATATAAGTCAAAGGTTACTACTTCACCATCTTTATGGAGTTAATTTGCATGTTAAAGGTGCCCTGTGGAGTTTGTTAACCATTAGGGCCGCTATGGAGCAATGCTTTTATCAGCAGGTCCTCGTTTTGTACATTTTTGTACACACAAGGATGCTCATAGACCCTCACACATTCCTGCCAGTGGTTTCTAACCGTTCTACAGTTCTAAATGTGGCGCCAATGGCCAAGAAACGTAGCAATGCGCCAAAGAAATCAGCTTTCCAAATGTTTTATGAGGAAAAAATACATACAACAGGATTGTTAGGCCTTAAAGATACGCATATTGCACCGAATGGATGTAAACCAAAGCTATGTTTGCTAGAAAAAACATGAGCACAGAAAAAAAAAAAAATTAAATATCTTTTTAGAATATCAGTGTTGGTCCCTCTGAGGGGAAAGTCCATGCGTGTATTTTGGAAGCCCATATTGACGCTGCGTTTTTTAAAAGAAAATAAATTAGCCGGAGGAAATGAGAATTTTATTTTGAAAGTTTTGCCCGGAAAGCTTGTATTTACTTCTCGCGTGCTTGATCTTCGTGCCCACAGCGCAAGCGAGACACATTTGCATTGACGAGGAGCGCCCAGACTTTGCGCACACCGACTGAAGTTTTGAGTTTAAGTTGAACTTCCAGCGTTTCCAGTCACCGGCTGGTGGATCATGTTCAACGAGGGCGAAAGAGAAGAAGCAAAATAAAGCAGCCGACCTGGATGTGACTCATATAAATTATGCTTCTGACTATGATTTACTGACTGGGAGTGCGCTCCTCCGGGCTGTGGTGGATATATGGTTGAGTCCAGAACCCATAACATTTGTATTGTAATAAGCTTCGGTGGACCTTACTCATAACCATTATGATGGAGAGCCACATGTGTTGGACATGGATGCTGTTGTGTCTGCTCCTGCGGCCGTCGGCTGGACAGAACCCCGCACCTGAAGGAGGTAAGATGGATATGGACACCATTGATCCAGTAGAATCCACATTTATTGAAGTAAAGAAACCTGTCAGAAATCGACTTGGATGCCGAGGTTTAAAGAAAGCATAAATAAATAAATAAATAAATAATAATAAGTATAACAGTAATACAAAATAGATTAATTAAAAATAAAAATGCCTACAATTAAATAATTTTCAGCACCAATATTCACTTTAACATCATGTTGTCATCTAGTAACTTCCCACTGTGACCAAATATCTTGGTCAGTCTTTACACCATTTTTCTCCTTGTTAATATAAAGTGAGTTTAAATACTTTGTTGGCACATAATATGAGATGCAAGACTTTGCCATTAGAAAGTGATGTTGCTTCAGGAGGTTGAGGGACTGTCTGGGCTCAGGGTGGATCAGGGTGGGGCTGATATTACACCAGTGTTCTCAGTGAAATGGCGTGACTCCAAGTATTGAATTGTCAGTTGATGAAATCCCACAGCCTGAGGCAATGGTTCCCAAAACGGAGGGGGGGCACATACAGGGACCACCCAGGCGTCCTGTGGAAGGCTTCAGGTGCTCCCCATATTTCACAAAAAAAAAGAAGTGTTGAATTCACAGATTATTGTCTGGTGATGAAAACTCAGCAACAGTTTCTAAGGGGAGGACAAAGCAGTCTTCAGATCAGCTGAGAAATAGTTCCATTCTAGTTATTATTTCATTCATTAAAGTAAAAATCCAATGAGAAAGTAAGCTGGGAGCAGGAATGACAGATTTGATCTGCTGGTTTAGTTTTCCACATCTAAACTGCAATGTAAATGATGTAGTGTTCTGTCTTTATCTTACACTGATGTAGAGTTACGCTGAGACACTCCTCAGTGAGTTTATGGACTGTATACTATATACTGATATTGTCATCAGTTCTGATCTAGATTGGCATTTTGATTCACTAACACAATAAAACATGTTATCAGACGTTATCACTACGGTGCCTTCACGCCCTGCAGTAAAACTCATGACTGTGAAGTGTCTAAGAGGCTAAACTTGGTGGTGGCGACACCGCCGAGTCTGTCAGTGGCAGCGGATCTTTATGACGGTGTTAACATTGTAGTGAGTGAGATGCTGTCACTTTGCTATTTCTGTTAATAGGGATCTGATGAGACTGAACCAAGCTTAGCTTACAGTAATTGGGCTTTTTATAAGTGTGCTTGATGTTATTCTTGTCATCCTTAATAATAATAGAGCTGCCCATCACTGAAGGCCACACTCACTGACAGAGAAGGAACATGTTGCACAATGTATGGTTAATTATGTGAAATTAAAAGGTAATTAAGGATCAAGAATGGTACAGAGAAACTATGTAAAGCTATGTGACTGTTGACATGAAATGCTTAAAATTCAAATCCCTCTAATCACACCACACGCTTAAATATCCCCTCCAGATATGTAAGATGGAAAGGCATCTACTCTACTTTATTGGAAATTCCAGAATCTATGAATATGCAAATTTAGCTACAGTTTTCCTGTTAGACACAGGATGTCTCCTTCTTCACTGTAAAGTCTATTCTCAGTGCATGTGCACTGGCGGCTTCAAGTTTCTACTTCAAATGTATATAAGCTGCGTACCAGATACAAGCCCCCAGAAAGTGCTCCGGGATTTGAAGCCAATTTGACATATTGGCTGAGCAGTGTAATTACAACAATGGTGTCCGTTGATCCATTCGGTCCAATAACATTTTGAAAGCCTGGTCGAGCCACACAATTTTATCTAATTTCTTTACAGTGTGGCTTTTTTGGGTTCATGCGCCACTGAGCAGCTTTCATAGAAAGAAACATAGCACCCCTAGGACCAGGACTGACATCCAAACTATTTGTGATGTCACAAATCATGCTAGTAGCCCCCACCCCTTAAAAATCAGATTTTCAATGAGCACAGAGAAACTTTTCCACTTTCAACAGATGAATATGAAACCATCCTTCTCTGCACATACATCATTCTGCATGGTGAAGCTACAACCTTCAACTGCAGGAAAAAAAAGAAAAAATATTTTTGTGTGGACGGGGACTTTAAATTAGTTTTTTCTGGTCTTTATATTCATGCTACATTTCTGCACATCCAGCCCACAAAACCGTATATTGTTCTTGATAATATATATAACGTACCCATGTGTTCAGCAGGTTGCAAGACCTGCTTTGCTCCTGTAGTGTTTTACTGGAGCCACCTGAGGTTTTTTACGCCTCATTTTTCAACCATCACATCACTCCAGTGTTAATAGCCCACCGATAAATCTGCTTTATCGCCCGCATGATAACGTCAGGCTGCATTTAAACACGTCTTCTCTCTAGATAAACAGTGTCCAGACGTCAACGTATGGTTTTTAGATAAAGACATATACCTGCACAAAGGTAGAGGTGGGGGGAGGCACTGATACTGAGCAGCCCCCCCCCACACTTGCTCCAAAGTCCAAACAACAAGGCAGATGGAAGGAATTCTTTAGGCTGATGGAGGGAAAGGCATCAAGCGTGCACATCTGCATGTGTGTGTACATTTGGTTTGTGTATGTGTATACATGCCTCACTGCCTACTCAGCTTTCAACACCTCCGAATCTTATCAGCACCTCATCTCATGTGTTAAACATCCAGATATTTAAAAAAAAAAAAGAGTGGGCATCCAAAGAAAAAAAAAAATCCATAGGTGTCAAGGTATCTGAGTTGGTGCCAGTAATTGCAGTACTTTTAAGCCAGAGCAATCTGGAGGTCTTCCTCTCTCACTGTATCTGTTTATTTTTCTTTTCACTTTAACTCTTAAGATTTTTTAACAGTGGGCGTTTTTTCTTGGACGACTGCACAGTCTCGAGATCTGCAACCAAATATTGCTTTTAGATTGTGTCACTGTTGCCGCCGCTACTTCTTTTCTTTCTCCCTACTCTGCTCTGTATATGGCCATCCAACATTCCTCTTCGTCTCTCGCTTGGAACTGTCAGTACAACCCCCCCCCCCCCAGCCTCACTCTCCTTTTAACGCCTTTTATTTCCCTGTGTCCCACCTCCTTTCTCCACTCCCTCTCCCTCTCCCAGTAATGCCCAGCAGCTACTGTTTTCCCTCACTCTTGGCATTCACTTTTAACTTTGCTTCTGTTACGAAATGTGGAAAATTGTGGGGGGGGGGGAATCCACTCTCTGGCTCAGTGCTTATCCATCATCTACTTTTGAAGTTATCATAAAGCCGGCATCATTTTGTCATTGCTCTGTTTGTTTTGATTTATTCTAATCTTCAGTGTAATTACTTGTTTCTTACTTGCTTCTGACTCTTTGCTGCTGCTTTCATGTTGCTAATATCCCCTATAAAAGTTGAGACTGAATTGTTCCAAGAAGGTGGACGGAGAAAAGGAGGGAGATTCCAAATGTGTGTTTTTGCCAGTGAAGCATGAAAGGGGACCTGTGGAAAAACTTGTGGGAGTTACAAGGAATCATAGGGGGAGTTGTAGTTCCCACATCAGTATTAAAAGGCAGCATGTACTTATTTTGAATATCTGATGTATTGATTTACTTTTCCTCCGCAGTGCTGAACTGCTGCGAGGGTGACGTCCTCTTCTTATTGGATTCCTCAGGGAGCGTGTCGTCCTACGAGTACTCCCGCATGCTCACCTTCCTGTCCGAGCTCCTCCTCCCCTTCTCCCTAGGAGAGGACCAGGTGAGGGTAGGACTTCTGCAAGTCGGCACCCAACCACGCCTTGAGTTTGGCTTTGACACCCACAGCACCCAAAGTGGTCTCCAGGAGGCCTTGAGGAACACCAAACCTCTCAGGGGGGACACCAACACAGTGGAGGCGCTGAGAATTGCAAAGGAACGGGTGCTGAGACCCGGAGCGCCGGATGGGGCTCGGGCGGGGCTCCCAAGAGTGTTGGTGTGGTTGACTGATGGGGTGAAACCTGGTGATGTGATTGGACCAATGGCCGAGCTGCAGGAGGAGGGCGTGGCTGTGTTGGTGGTCTCCACTGGGCATGGCAACTATCTGGTGTTGAGAGAAGTGGTGACCCCGCCTGTGGAAAACCACCTGTACTTTGTGGACATTGATGATATGAGTATCATCACAGAAGACTTGCGGGACGCCATCATTGGTGAGTATAGTATGGGTTAACTGGTGAACTTTTGAGGTTTAATGTATGGAGCCTGAGGTATGCCGCAAAAATGATTATTGATTTTCTAGTGTTTAATAAAATCAAATAATAAATGATGGAATCACAAAATAAACTTTTAGATTTTCCCTTTTGTTGACTGTCAATGAAAGACCCTGATTTTAGGTTGCTTTTCTTACATATATTTAAATTAAAAAGACCCATCTTTAAATTAATCAATTATCACTCTGCAGTTCCCCTCAGCTATTTAGTATCTTTCACCTCATTGTTTTGATTTTACATTTTACATAACATTTAGGAGGATCTATTGGCAGAAATGGAATATAATATTCATTCAGATGTTTTCATTAGTGTATAATCACCTGAAAATAAGAATTGTGCTTTTAGTACCTTAGAGTGAGCTACCATCTACAGATGGATCCTCTGCTATGGAGCCTCTCATGTTTCTACAGAATGGTCAAACCAAACACTGGCTCTAGATAAGGGCTTGTGTGTTTTTTGCGAGTTTCACAGCCACCATAGTTTCTCCTACACACTTGGAACTAGAGGGTGAGACGAGAGCATTGCAATCAGCAACTACACCACTAGATGACACTAATCAATTATCACTCTGCAGTTCCCCTCAGCTGCATGGAGATGTTTTGGCATCTTTTAGCTCATTGTTTTGGTTTCACATCCCACAACTCTTTTGGTTTAATCTTTCTACTGTCAGCAACCTAGTTTCAAGCTACTTAAAGCAAAAAACTGATAAACTGACTGTACACTACCTGCTCAGCACTAAATAGCAGACAAAGCTTGCATCTTGCTGAAGAATGTTAGCTTCTGAAGAGTCAGATGTCCTCAGGTGTTGGTGGAGGCCAAAACCGAGCTAAAAGAGAGTGAATATTGGATTTAGTATATTTGCCAGGTGACCAGAAACAAATAAATGATAATATTGATCTGTGTTGACTGGATGTTTGAATAGACAACTGTATGCTAATGCATTAGCCAAAACAACGTTATGCTATCAGGTAAATTGTCAATGTTGTGTCCCCAAGAGACCCAAAAATAAATTACTGCTGTTAAAAAACTGCAAACTTAGGCTATATAATTAAACAGGTGGCAAACTCCAGACTCAGCCACCTGAATGATATCGTCTGCAGGATGTTATTGTTAACATAATTGCAGGTCAGTCCATGTCCAACACTCTTTTCTAGGATTCAATTTCATTCATGTAGCTTAAAGCTTTGAAAAATGACATTTAAATTTAACATCAACTTATCTTTCCAGAAAGAGTGTCCTGTCTACTCTGTATAACCAATCTGTGGAACTACATTTACCAAAGAAATAGTCCCTATAAACCCATGTGTTTCCTTGATAGAAACCTCCTCATTCAAACAGCTACAATCATGCCTGCCACTCATACGCAGCTGCATTAATGTCTCTGTGCTTCTCCCTAATTCCACACATGCTCCTGAAGACAGTGAGACTAAATAGGAAGGCGGGACACTGAGAGTGTCTGTGTGCGTGTGTAAGTCACTGTAATGAGATATGACGATCTATTATTGGATTAATGATTCAACTTCGCTTGCTACATCCTCCAACACTATGTTAGACATGATACATATATATATATATATATTTATTTATATATAGACTGGGGAAGGTTGCCCACTTCTCTGGCCAGATTAGGTAACTGCCATAGCTCTCACAAGGGACACCTCAGCAATTCTACAGTATCTACTGCAGCTGTAAGACATGATGCATAGTATAAATTAGGCCTGTGTACAACAAGGAGAAATGCACCAGTCCTTGCTGCGTACCTAAGGATCCTATCACAGATATCAATGCCTCTGTGGTATTTGTTGTTTTGTTGCAGGGCCTCACTGGGTTGGCTATTTCAAGTTGTCTTGTTGCAAGGGTTGTGAATGCATCCAGAAACCCAAGTCTGGCTGTCTACGTGGGTGGCTGTCTGAAGCCAAGGCATTTTTAGCACTCTGTCTTCTCTTCCCTGTCACCATCCTTTCTCTGCAGAATTATAACTTGTCCCTAAACCCTGACAGACCCGTGCGCACACAGTAACTTCATTCATCTTCATCCTGCCTCCTACAGAGATTATCCGAGCTGAGCGAATCAACGTCCGTGACGTCTCCTCCAACTCTGCCACGCTCCAGTGGCGACCTGTTCTGTCCGGTTTGAACGGCTACTACGAGGTACGCTTCGGTCCGGTTCCGACCGGAGGAACGGGAGGTGGTGGAGGAGGAACTGGGACCAGTCCGAGCACCGGTGGCGGTCAGTTCCAGAGACTAACCCAGTCTGCAGATTCCAGCACTGCCAGGCTAACGGGCCTGAAGCCTGACACCACCTATACCGCCACACTGACCCCGGAGTCCAATGACCAAGCATTTAACACACTGTCTGTCACCTTCACAACGAAGCCAGGTTGGGTTACATCTGATTTACACATTGTGTCAAAACTGTGCACTTACTCTGCTATTTACTGAATCTTTTCACTGGGTTGGTTATAGTGCAAAAAGGAAAACATTCGCTGGTTCCACCTTCTCAAATTTAAGCATTTATTGTTTTTATCTGTTGTGTTTTACAAACAAAAGAGGCTGGGGACATTTTATGGGCATTATATATGATATTTTAAAGTTACTTTTTTGCTAGTTTAAATTGAGCTTTTCCTACCTAATTATTGGGAATTTGGGGGAACATTTTTTTAAATTTTGTTCCCCCAAATTCCCAATAATTAGGTAGGAAAAGCTCAATTTAAACAATAGTAAATGTTTCTTTATTATTGACCTATTATTAGAAATAATACATATATTATTTATATATGTTGAATTGTATGCTTCTTTGTAGACAAATTGACTTAAAAGACTTAAAATGATCATTGGTGTTTTTTCTCCCCCCACACACCAGAGGTGATGAGCCCGGCTGTGGTAACGATCTCTGAGTCGGGGGACACCAGCGTTCGGGTTAGTTGGGGTCCTCTCCAGCCAGAGACGGTCACAAGTTACTACATCGAGTACTCAGCCCTGCCCAGGGGCAAACTCCACGCCACCACAGTGAGCCGAACGCAAAACTCAACACTCCTCAGAGACCTCCAACCGGATACCACTTACTTGGTCACCGTCACTGCCCTGCACACCTCGGGCAAGGAGAAGGCCATGTCTGTCAAAGTGTGTACTCAGGAAGGTGAGCTGCGTGAGGGAAAAGCAGTCAATCTTGGTGATCAAGGATCCGTTCACTGCACCCTAATCCTAATCCTCTGCAGCCCAGTCCTTCCTGGATCTTACATTTCAGATAATTACTAGCAGTTACATTCAGGTTTGACTACTCCAAGGGCAGTTCTGAGCAGCTAGAGGAGCTTGAGCCTAACAGTCACATCTACTGTACGAGTTCTGTTAAAGCTTTTCTGTTTTCCTTCCTTTTTTTTTTTACTCCTCTTCATTTATATCCTCTTTTCTAAAATGCTCTTCTCAGTTTTTTCTCTCTTTTGAAATATACTCTGACTAACATCTCTGTGGTTTCCATTTCCAGCGACTCCAGCCCTGGCAGACCTCCAGCTGACCACAGTGGGTAGTGACTCAGTGCAGGTTGACTGGAAGGTCAGTGTAGGCGGTCTGAGGGGCTACTGGCTCACCTGGGAAGAACAGCAAAGCTCTGTCCCCGGCCAGCGTTCCTCCCTCTATTTGCCGCCCGACTCTTTGTCAACACGCCTCACACACCTCCCCCCATCGGCTAGAGTGTGTGTGTCGCCCATTTACCGGACGGCGCGGGGAGAGGGACTGTGTTGCACGGCGCAGTTTCATTCAGGTGAGTGGTGACAGGGTATGCGGCCATTTTGCAAGATGAAGTGATTTTTTAGTTGGGTTGATATGTAGAGGAATAGTTGGACAGCTTGGGAAATATAGTTATTTACCACATGACTAGAGTCAGGATGCTATTAGCCTAGCTTAGCATAAAAACTGGAAGGGGGTAAAACAGCCAGGCTGCCTCTCTCAAAAGTTCCAAAATCCACCTACAAGGACCTCTAAAATTGCGCTAATTGACATAACATATCTCATTTTGTAATCCATATATAAAAATAAAGTAAAATTGACTGTTTTTAGGAGTTATGTGGTGTAACTATGAAATACACCACTTAACTCAGTCTAAAGCCACAAAATATGAAGAAAAAACTCAGTATAACTTTTTCACTCTTGAGCTTTAGGCTGAAGATATATTAGCTTTTAACTACTACACAACTAATGGGTTCACATGCGCATGCCTGGCGTGTTCTGCAGCCGGACCATTGGTTGTGCACAGAAATTAATGCGATGCGTTTTTGTTAAAAGGCAAGTATATATCCGGTTCTAGAGATGTCTGTGCGTAGTAGATTTTTATTTATTTTTTTACTTTGGAGGACAACAGGCTAACTGTTTCCACTCTATAAACTAATCTCAAGCTTTTGAGGTATCAATCTCTGAGATTTATGTTTATATCCCAATACGATGGAGGTCAACAGAATTTTGTTTGTGGCACTCAACATCTCTTTTCAGGATCAGTTTCCTGGTTAAGGTGGATAATCCACCAAAATATTTTATTTTATCTACTTCTTAGCAGAGTAATAATTCCTAAAGATACATTTTTTAAATGTCTTCGCTGTGAACACGATAAATGAAATCCCATTTAACTTTATTGTACTGGGTTGGAAGAACAGTTAAAACAGTTATTTCAAAATCGAGGCAAATAAAACCTGTCTGCATGTCTTGATCCCACTATAAGTAAGTCAGAAAATATGTGTTTTTGTAATTTGAGTGAACAGCCCCTTTCAGCTGGAACATATTTCTGTTGGACAGAATGAATAGTCTGACGGTTAGTTAGTGTTCATAGACACAAGGAAATTCATAACACTTGCCGGAATGCTTAAATGTATAAATGTCAGTCTTCTCAACTGCTGTTTTCTCCTTCTGCTCTCTAGATGCATCAGCATACGACTACCAGTCATAGCACCTCTGACCTGCAAGTGCACCTTACCAAACATGGAGGGACGATGGCAAGAAGAATGCTGACTTTCATCCACAATTCTTTCCCCTGCCTCTCCCCTCTGTGGATATAATCCAGGAGATATGTGTGGTTTGGCTTACTGAGCACGCATGTGGAATCCATAGACGTTTGAGAGTGGTCTGGGACAGTATGGCCACATGTTGACTGCTACAATCTGCAACACAGAGGACTATTTGCTTTTCCATTTCTATTGTCTCATCTGGTTTACACCTGTAGTATATGTATATTGCTTCGTTTTAAAGATGCAAGCTAAAGATAAAGATATTTCTTAGGTCTGGTTTGCAGATATTGAGCAGAGCCTGCTGGGAATATAAGATGTTTAATGTGGCTTGTTTTGGAGAAAGGCTTTGCACCATATGTGGGCCTCATGCCCAAATCAGCATTTAAAAAACAGTCCTGCTAACACTCAGAACATCTGATTTACATTTATAATAAATACTTATGAAATGTACTTAAATTACTTCTCTTTCAGCACATGCTTGATACTCGTGTGTGCACACTGGAGTGCAACAAGGGAACGTTAACATGCGGTCCCTAATAACAGGATCTTCAGGATCGCTTTGAACTTTGAAGAAATTACGAACAGACCAAGCCTTATGCCCTGAAACTACGGAGATGCTGCATATGATACAGATGTGTGTAACTGAGAGTAGTCTTGTATTGGTCTCTGGACATAGATTCATCATCCATATTTATTAATTAACAGTCATGTAAGTATGAGAATTAATAGCGTTAAGTTTTTACAGACGTGCTGTTTACATTTTAAGACTGTTACCTTTTTTAAGCCAATCTTTGCTGCCCCCTACTGATAGCATCCTTACAGGCTTACAGCTGATCTTTTACTGTTATCCCCTCAGAGCAAATGTACTGTTTCATGTTTGTTGACCACTATTGAAATTTAACATGAGCTTGCAATAAAGTCCTAATAATTTTGTTTATACTAATTGTCATGTTTTCATTATAGTACAATCCAGCATTGTGGACTAAGATTAGGGCTAAATATTCTGATGAATAGCCTTTTTCTCAGGGACACATTTTACATTTCAAAGTCAGTTTACACGTCATGAGGAGTGCCTCTTAGGCCTATGAAAACAGTTGTATAATGTCTTTGCAGCTGTGCATGCAGAGAGGGTATAATGAAAGTCTTTCAGTTTATTTGCCTAGATTTTTTCATTTTTTAATTTCTCCTATTAAATAGGAGAGCAGGATTCAGCACCCACACGTCATCAAAGATTCTTTCATCACATGAGAGTGGTCTAGCTTTGTCAAAATGTACTGAATAGGTAGATTAGGCTTAAAACTATGATGTTTGATTGATTCTTTTAAATAGGCTCCAGTTATTTAGGGAAAATGTAGCTGCATGATAACAGTTTTGTAGAGTAGAAGAGTAGAGATGAAGGTCATGCTTGATACACAGATTCTGGTGCATACATTTTGGCAGGCTATTTTTGCTTTACTTTGAAGGAAGGTTTCTTGTGTTTGGATTATAATGTAAATTAGGCCTTGAGAACAGCCTCATTCTCAGTCTCATAAACAAACTGACTGATATAGTTGGAATACACTACAAGTACAATAGGCAACTGAGTGACAGAACAGGCAAGTTTCATATATCAAGGCTTCCCCCTGCAGGTGAATGAAAGCATCTTCAACTGTCTGGCTGTGACTGCCAGTCTATTAATGGTGAGTTATCATTTTGATAAACATTGGTGATTAATTTGTCAATCTTTTCTGAATTAAAGATATTAAATGTAGAACTTTGATCCATAGGTCAAATCCTAAAACAATACTTATCAAACAGCCTAAAAATGATCTGAGTCTCTCAGTCTCTGTCCATCATTTCTAACCATAGTGCTATGATGATGAAATGGAGCATCAACTGTTTAGTACAAAAATACATCAGCATTTATAAGGTTAATAGCTCAGCAACTGCATACCAAAACAATATTGTATATGGTTTATACTCTTTAATTAAACTTTTTACCGTGATAATATACAACTTTACCACAACAATACAACAGTCAAATCACGAGTTTGCTTAACTCCAATTTAGGCTACATTGACTGATAGGGATACTGATGTCCATCAGCAATTAGGTGTTAAAAGCTTTGTGCATTCATGTTTTAGTTTTTTAAATTCGGCTTAAATTAATGAAGTGAAGCTTGAAAAAACAAGTTGGATGAATGTTGATATTTGGTCCAACTTGCTCAATAAGTGAACATTATATATTTTTATATACTTGGTTCTGATTATCAGGTGACCTTTTCATACCAGTTCAGGAGCTACTCCGAGCTCTTTATTCATCCAAACTGGTTCAGGGCACCCTAATATTAATGAGACTGCAATACAAAAGTATAGGCTACCCTTTTTCAAAACCTGTTTAATCTTTGTTTCATCTTGTCTTCTTGTTTTATTTTACAAACAAAACATTGTGTCATTCAGAAAACCTAGGGTCAAACCTTTTGCAAAATGATTCTACATAATCTAACTTCAATTTGATCCTTTGTTTTATTTCATTTTTAAAATACTGTGGCCTTTATCGGAGCCCCTAAACAACACGCAAACCTCCCTGAGATGAAAACACATCATTCCTATCATTTCCATTAGCTATCACGAAGACAAACATTGTTTGGTTCATAGCTGACGGAGAGTGCTTGAGTGGACGCCAAGAAGGATTACGAGCGGAAGGGAGTTCACCAGCAGCACCTGAAGGCAACATCGGGTCTGACGCAGTTGCTGTAGCAGCGCAGTAGGGGGCGTCAATCTACGGATCCTGTTTCCCGTTAGCCCATCAAGCTGCAATATCCAAGCCTTGACATTGCGAAGATGGAGGCTGTTATGGTCTAGAACAGGAAACATAGAAAGCACAGACTGCGAGTTTCAGAGCTTTGTTATGACAACATTTCCAGTTGGTGCAGGTAAATGAAAACTCTACTGGTTCCTTAACGTTAGCTAGCGAGCAAACGTTAGCGCCTTAGCAAAGTTAGGTAGCTAACGTTAGCACAAATGACAGCCAGCTCCGCTAATGTCAACGAACGGGCTAGCGCAGCGAACATTAGCTAAGCTAGCTAGCAACGTCGGATCAACTACAGCGTAGTTTGAGATAACTGATAAGTTAGCACATAGAACCGCCGGTTTTTCCTAACGACAGCTTTTTGTCTTATCCAGAGAGACCGCCTTGTAACGCAGAAACCAACCAGCCGGGAGCTAACTCCAGCTAGCTAATGTCATCATCAAGATTAGGAAGATGTTTGGATGTCAGTGCGAGCTAACATTAGCAAGCTAATCATTTTCAGAGCCGTTTCCTGGTTGTGATTCCTCGCCTTGTTACCGACCCGAGGTTTACAAGGAAACCAGGCTGTTATGTTTCATCCCTTGACTTCGTTTACGCTTACAGGGAATAAAAGCCAGCTCTTATAGTTTTTAAGATAGCTAACTTATGCTATGTAGTGCTATTATGATACTTAGTTCTCTCTGGAAGGAGAGGACGAAACGTTATGAACGACATAAAGAGATTTGGTCTGTTGGATGGGTCTTGTTTACTGATACACCAACGTTAGCTATACATTAATGAACGGTCACATTTATTCCGCTGTGCTTGCACTGCACCAAACGACAATTGTTCTCATATAATTGAATCTTTTATCTTTGCTGTCGTTACACGTTTTCATCCTTCATTTTCCTTCCACCAAAATAACCTAGCGACGTAAGATACGAGTAAACCAGTTCAGCAAGTTAAAGTTGAAATACTGCTTGATGGACCTTTTGATAGTCTAGATCAAAATCAATTATCAAACAGAATCTTGTATGAGGTGTGTGTGTGTGTGTTTCTCTGTTAGCAAGGTTACATACTGACAGCAGAAGTACTCTTGCAACAACAGTTTTGTTTTGTTTAAGATATTAGTTAAGTGGCCTCTTCATAATTTTCCCAATGTTCCTTATTGAGTCGACTTCTGTGTGTGTGTGTGTGTGTGTGTGTGTGTGTGTGTGTGTGTGTGTTGTGTGTCTGCAGGTGGAGGCAGGAGGTGTGAGTAGAGTGCAGTAGACATCAGCAGCATGTACTCCGAGTGGCGCTCGCTGCAGTTGGTGGTGCAGAGTGACCAGGGCCACCTCAGTGTCCTGCACACCTATCCCACCACTGTGGGCACAGAGGTGGCAAATGCTGTGGTCAAACCTCTGGGCACAGCTGTAAGCCCTGTCGCCACAGAAAACATCCTCAAAACAGACAAGGAGGTGAGAAAGAGGTCCAATGTACTTTGCAACTGATCAACTATTCAGTGTTTGACATAATTTTAATGCTTAGTAGTCTGCCAAGCTACCAGCTTCATTACCAATGCTTTGGTCAGCTCAAAACCTGCACAAATTGCCTGTACTTCGAATAAAAAGATGGCTTATGCAGCAGGAGTTACGATTAGTAACCTAAGGGATTGATCTTTTAATTTGAGCTTCAGCTACTCAAATCTGTTTTGAATCAGTGTTTGAAATTTTGTAGAAATTCTGCTTCGTGTCACCACAGTGGTGGAATTCAAGTTATTTTTACTCTGCACGACCATTGTTTGATATGACATGCTGCGATTTGAGCAGTTATCAACTTAAAGGAACAGCTTCCTACATCACTGGTGTAGTCATAAGTGTCATCTGTAAGCTGCACCAACTCTATGCTATTTACATGTGAGGAGGCAGAATCAGAAATGCAGCGGCTCCTGCCCACTGCGGGAACCTATATTTTACATACAGATACCTGTATCATTGTATCATTACTGTGACAATCAGTTTAGATATATGGTTAAAAATAACTGCACTGGTGGGAGGTATAAGTGATATTTGAATCCCTTCACTTAATTGAATGACATTAACTTCTTTTAAGTGCAAGCACTACACCCAATAAGGACAAATACAAAAATACATGAGAAATATATGCAAATGTTGGATTTGTGCTTTGTGTCTTGAGTTTGCATGCACTGTGGAGCAGGATTTATTCAAGGTCTTCTCTATATTTAGCTTCATTCATCATTCTTGTAATCCTTACCAGTTTCCCAGTTCCTGCCATTAAAATCATGGCCTGAAACTACAGTACCACTGCCAAGTCTAAGTGTAGGGATGACAGTACGTTACGTACTCTGATTTTGACCAGCTGTAAGGCTTGACATTGAGGCTAAAGAGTTAAATTTTTATGTCATGAGAGCAGAGTCCTTTTTTTCCTCTCCATTTAAATGCCATTAGGCAAAACCTAGGTGGCTGTCATAGTTTTTAACTCAAGAGTATCTTTGGTATAGCTACTCATATATCATTATCAACATATAAAGGTGTGACGGATGAAGTGCTACAGAGATAGCTTCTCCTATCTCTGCACGAGGCTTAGGTTTGAAACACAACAGACGCTTAGTGCTGTCGGTTAAGTTCCCCCTTCACTTCACCATCCATGCTCAGGAAAATGAACACAGTGTGCCTATGTATATGTGCTGTGTATTTTCTCTTAATGTCGTGCTCCGATTATGTAAAAAAATATGTGTCATTTTTATCTCTTAAAGCCTCTGAGGCACATAGTATATTTTCAGTGATAAACAATAGTAGTATGTTTGATAAGGATGTCCTGAGCCCCTCTGTACGGTCAGGACAGAGTCTGATTTAAGATGTTTTTGACTTAAAAAAGCCAGATCAATTTCTCATCCCTTTGTTTGTATGCTTGGTTTACGCCAGCTGTCAGAAAAAGTCTCCCCTATGCTCTGATAAAACACACGCACAGTTGTGAACAATTCAGCCGCAGAGCTCACATCTAGCCAGGAGTTTCAGTTAATGATGTGACAGCATCAGGAAGAGATGTGAGGAGCTGCGTTGGGTTAAAAATATTTCAGCAAACGCTTCTCAGGTGCACCATGCATATGGAGTGCTGCTGTTGCCTTGAACCTCATTCATGCTGAGGATAAAACATGGATAAACC